CTCCTACTTGGGAAGCTGATATAGTAGGATTAGTTGAGCTCACAATTTCAAGGCCAACCTGGGCAATATAGTAATACCCAATCTCAAAACAATATTTATATGAAGTGCCTAGAATCAGTTTGCTATTCCAGATATATAGAGACTGAAATTAGATTAGTGGTTGCTGAGAAGTAGGTGGAAGTATGGAGAGTGACTACTAATGCATGGAGGTTTCTCTTGGGATGATATAAATTTTCTAAACTTAGATTACACAACTCTGAATATACTAAAGCCATTGAATTGTACACTTTAAATGGGTGGATTTATGGCCTTTATATCTCAATAAAGAGGTTAAAATGTTTAATCTTGAGTATAAGTATATGCACTATAAAGGAGACGTGTTTTTGGTCCTTATTCTTAACTATCATTGTGCCTTAAGCATAGTAGAAAATGTGGAATGAGTGAATTTTAAAAATAAAATATCCTAATTTGAATTTAGCATCTTTCTCTTGGTTAGTGAAATTCTAAAATGATAGTTGTCAAATATAGAAACCTCTCAGAAAACATTTTAAAGGAATAGAGGCATAATATATGTATATTTTTGTCAAAAAATGTAAAATACTTCAAAAAGTGACATTGTTGAATATGACAAAAATAAGAAGTAAAATGAGAAGAAACCACACAGTTGGAGAAGAATTCCTAGCATATAAAACCCCTAATTAATCTTTCCTAAATGAGTGAATATAAGTCTAGAATGAGAATCAATTCTTAGAGGGAAGAGCCAGACTTTCCAGACAAGTATAGAAGCAATAAGTAAAATCCAGTTATTTTACTTTCATTTATGTAACAGTTCTTTCTTGTTGGCCACTTACATGAAATGTTTGTTTTTTCCCCTTGTCTGTGTCTGGCATACTTTGTTAATTTCCCTTAGTCAAGGGTGTTATGCTTTGATATTTTAGTAGGGTACCTAAGACATACATACATGCACACATACACATTATACAGTGATCAATACATATTATAAGAGAGCACTAAAAAGTTTTGTAGGAATTCAGAAGTAGCATTTGAACTGCTTTTGGATATGCAGTGTTAGGAAGGACAAAGGCATTCTTATCAAAAGGAGCAGCATGGGCTGGGGATGTGGCTCAAGCGGTAGCATGCTCGCCTGGCATGCGTGCGCCCCAGGTTCGATCCTCAGCACCACATTACAAAGAAAGATGTGTCTGCCAATAACTAAAAAATAAATATTAAAAAATTCTCTCTCTCTCTCACTCTCTCTTAAAAAAAAAAAAGGAGCAGCATAAGAAAAACCATGGGCTTTCATTTTGGCTGGTGTTTGTAAAGCGGGTAATGGGAGATGAAGTTAGGGCCAAATTGTGTTCTAGCTCTATTACTTACTAGCTAACTTCAGAAAATTATTTGACCTCTTCCAATGCATTTGCTTAAAAAAAAAACAATTGAGATAGTAATACCATTTACCTCAAGGTTATTGGGAGATGATTTAGATGAGAATATACACGTTGAACATGTATATTCTGGCACAAAGTGCTGAATAATGTTTCCTATTATTTGTCACAGAGGCCAATGCCAAGCTAAGACATTAGAGCATTTATGTTGTAGAAAGCCAAAAATAAGGGTTTTAAATAGAGAGGTGACATAATCAGAGCAATGCTTTAGGAAGATTAACATGGCAGTAGGTGATCTAGAAGTGAAAGAAAGGGAAACCAGAGACCAGAGGAAGTTATTGCAATAGACCAGGAGAAACAATAAGAGTTTGATAGTTTATAAATGACTATAAAGGGGCTGGGGATGTGGCTCAAGTGGTGGTGCACTGGCCTGGCATGCATGCGGCCCTGGTTCGATCCTCAGCACCACATACAAACAAAGATGTTGTGTCTGCCGAGAACTAAAAAATAAAT